CGTTGACTACATCTGCGTTAATAGCGTGCTCTTATTTTTTTCATTTCAATTCAAATAATGAAGCGAACTTTTTGTTTCCTCATAAGAGAGCATCTAGTTCGCATCGCTTTCCTCTCATTGATTCTTTGGCGTGTTTGGGCTCTTTTATTTGAACAAAAAGGTGTTCCAGTTATGAGAATAAAACATTATTTTTGTACGTCAGAAGCAGGCATGAAATTGCTAAACAATTTTTCAAAGAACAAGAACCTTTTGAGGAGTGAGTATTGGAAAACAAACTACAACGAAAGGCACTGAACTGTCAAAATGTGCCCCAAAACCGCTTTGGAAGTAGTCTTTTCATACGAGGACTTTAGAATTTGCTTGTAAAAGCTCCGAGTTTTGTTGTTCTCTAGCTTTTCTGAACCTCGAAGAAAGCTGTGGTGTTTTGCCCCAACACAAAGCTGTGATATTTAGTACAAAAGTAGAGACTTTTAAGAGCCACAATGTATTACAAACCCGGCTATGCAACATTCTACAGAAAATTCTACGCAGATTTTGCCATTCTTGTTCATCCACCGACGGATTGCTTAGCGTGAGTGGCCTCGTACAGCCAACAACAGTTTCTTATCAAACCTTTAGAGTATATATCTGCTTTATGCACCGAACGAACGCCACCAGATCTAGGTTTGCGCGGATAGATATTGAAAGTGCATGTGGAGATTCAATTCGTATCCTAACAATGGAGCAAATTTTATATCACGTACAAGCCGGAAAAGCAAGTTGGTTTGAGTTACATCCGTATAAATGCAATATGATATAGCGGACAATTGTGAGACTGAGATAACAGATCTTTAGCACCATACGTAAACCTAAAAGCTGAGCTCGACTTCAGACGAAAGAAAGGTGACCCTGATGTCTATGAATTGCAGGTGTGTACCTATTTCCAGATGTAGCTTTCATAAATTCGCAGAAGCAGCGATATTTTTTGAGCTTTTTCTTTTTCTTATCAAGTTGCATGAACCTGATCCTCTTCTTCATTCACAAAGAATTACTTCTATAAGTGAGCACAAAGTTTTCAGTTGTATATAAAAGTGCGGATACTGCTTTCGACGGAGTTCTTTATGTACCATTCAATTCAATGGGAATGACGGTTGGAAGGCAGCGCTTCAACCTATCAAAACTAGAGAATGACCAGACAGCGCTCGCGAGAGAGACTCAGACTGCGTCATTGCGGGCGGTCGCCGTCTAGCCGCCAATTCCGTTGAATCAAAGGGTAAATACCAACTAGACATGCAGCTGCATGATATGTTTCGTATATAAAGAGGGCAAGACTCAAACATGAACATGCAAAACTCAGAACTTAAACTCTCCGACCTACATGCACATGCTGTGTAGAATTTCTCCTTAAAAAGCAAGAAAAACGAGGCGTGAAGTGGCAACTCCTTTTTTGGCCCTATTTTTTCCA